TTTTTTTTTTTTTTGAATTATTCTCCATCCATATTCTTTAATTTAAATTTATTCTCTTTAACGTTCTCGAGTTTATATTTCTTTTTATTTTAATTGGTTTAGTTTTATAGATCTCGAAGTAAATTATAAAGTTTTACGCATACCTTGAAACTTTCTTGCATTTATATTTTTGCATTAAATTTGTATTAATATTTTGTCGTATATATAATTTTGTTATAATACATTGAAGAAAAAAGATTTGTCAATTTATAAATTATATTTCAAGAAACAAATATTTATTAACACTGTCGCGCGCGATATATTAATGGGAAAATTTTTATAATAATTTTTGTTATGTTCCTTTGGAAAAAACATTTCGATTCCAATTGAAAATGATTTATTTGAAGTATTCATCATTCTAATCATTTTTCCTGTCTACCGAGAATAATAATAATAATAATAATAATAATAATATTTAATAAAGAAGAAAAAAGTGGAAGTAATATAACGAGTTCATCGATAAGTCGTGTTTAGTTGTAAAACAGAATATATTTAATGTTTTCTAAACGATCCGAACGATATGAACAAAAGCTTTATCGATTTACGAGCTCATATGGAAGATGAAGAGGAGGAAATATACGCTTGTCTCCCATAAATACAGCAGATTTCGCGTAACCTTTCGATATCGACTATAAATACGCATTTTATATCTACCATGGGATTTTAAATGAAAAACAGTCGTCAAAGGCTCATGGGGATTAAATGCTAAAAGGAATAGAAACGTTTTCCTTTACTAACGGATAAAAAAATAAAACTGGGAATGATATAAAGACAAAACGAAACCAGAAGTTCATCGATAATTATCAAAATCAAATTAATAATCAAACATTTATTTTATTACAACGATCTGAACAAGAAAATTAGATTAAAAGAAAGATAGAAACATTCATTATTTAAATCATTGAAATACTTTTAACCTATTTAAGAAATCTTTCAATATAACATTCCTGTCCACTTTCATGTCTTGCACTTACTCCTTGAACTCATTTTTTCTTGGAACAAACAAACAAACAAAAATATCGTTCTCTTACGATTAATCATTGAACTTATTTTCTCTTTTTCCTTGTTTGTTTAGGGTATCACAATTTTTACGAATTCATAAACCTCGATTCGATCAATAATTTTTTTTAACCCGACAACAGAGAAAACGAAAGAGTGAAATAGAGAAAAAAGTACTCTTTCTCTTTCACTCTTCGCGGAGAGAGACAAAAAAGAGAGAATGAGAGAGAGAGAGAGAGAGAGTGAGAGAGAGAAAAATCTCTCCGGCGTGGGAAATAAATCTCGTTGGTTGCTCTCGGTACCGGCTTCCTATCGTATTAATCGTTTTCGATATTCGATTTTATCATCCACGCCATACTGCTGAAAGAAACGCTCTCGCACAAGAGTGAGATAAAAAGAGAAAAAGAGAGAGAGAGAGAGAGAGAGAGAGAGAGAGAGAGAGAGAGAGAGAGAGAGAGATGGGACATGGGAGAAGTTTCCAGTTTCCACGGTTCCCTTGTCCCCCTAACCCCATCTCCATTCCCGGATCCACCCCATTATTCTACGAAAAGGTGGAAGGTAAAAAAATGGAGTAATAATAATTGCCCCCGATGCATTTCCGATCGAGTTTCGCGAGTTATTTTTCCCTTCGGCCATAGCTTCGGCAGTCGATCATATTTATTTAGAACGATACAACATTTCTCTATGTATGTAGAATATATATATATATATCGTGTATATATGTGTATATATAGATGTTGAAATTTATATCAGTATATACCACTCAATCGTTACATGGTGTAAGGTAACGAAGGTTTACTACGCGTAGTGGTTTTGAATTATTGAGATTTTCTACAATTCGAGAACGTGATTTTTAACAAATAAAAATAAAACATAAAAATAAAAAAATAAATATAAATAAAAATAATAAGTACCAAAAACAATGTATCAATTTCGATCAAAACGATACCTGGCGGCTTAGGAAATGCTAGCAATCCCTGACGGGTCAGATATTCTATGAAATAACTGGTTTGGGTCAGGTATTCTATGAAATAACTCTGTGTTTATAACTGTTAATAAGTTTCTTTTTTTGAGTCTCTTTTTATTTATGTATGAATATGTATTCGTAATTAAAAGAAAATAATAATGTTTTATTTATTTTAATATAAACGATTAAAAATTCTGATATGATATTTGGCAATCAATATAGATTTTCAAGAGGATGAATAAAAAGATAGACGACTTGAAGAAAGAATTACTTTAGGAAAGAAAAAGAAATAGATAAAGATATGAAGTGGTGAAAACATTATTTACATTTTCTTAATCAAACTTTCTAACGAATCGCGATAGAGACCTTGACGAAACTTTCCAACCTCGACGATATCTCTTGGCACATCAAATCTGTACGTAGGGTCGTTTTCAA